AAAAAAAAAAAAAATCAAATTTTGAAATAATAAAACCAACAAGTGTTGGATGGTAAAGTATTAAAAAATAAAGAAATTGCAAAAATTAAAGTGTCCACTTTGACATTGTCATTTGCAAAAATGTCCCAAATTTATTTCATTTGCGAATTTGTCCATTTTGCTAAAATTTAGACAAAATTGCCTTGGTAACAATTTCAAATTCTACCGAAAGACAAATTTTCATATGAATTAAAAATTATGTCAGCAATTAGAATATTGACACATAAGCTATAAGTTTGACATGCAACCTATACTGCAATGTCAATCCATGTATGGCGATAACTTCTCCCAATTTGAAAATTTTGTTCTGACAGAAGAATGTCAAGTGTTGAGATGTTCAAAAATCAAATGTCAAGAGTGAGATTTCAAATATCAATAATACAATGAAATGTAGTCCTCCCTTTTGGCGAAAAGGTGAGGTTTTCCTTCCCAGGTTCCCTGCAACTTTAGTTTTTCGATCTCTCGAGTTTTAACATGTAGATGTTGTTTGGGTGTGGATCTTGGCTTTCCTGTTTCTCTGGTGTCTTGAAATCCTTGCTTTTTAACCGCCCCTTCTCTTTGATTTCACCGGGGGGTGGGAGCTTCGGCTCCCCCCTCCTTTTCCGGTTTTCTTTACTGTTTTTTTTTCCTGTTTCTCTGTTTGGGTTCGGTGGGGGCTGTTTTTGGACGGTTTATTTTTGGTTGTGGGGGTGTCCAGAGGCAGGTTGCGTGTTGTGGCTGTGGTGTTCGAAGGTGCTCCAACGGGGGGAAGGGACTACGTTCAGGCCATCATACCAGTGTTTTTTAAGGGTTTTATCCGGACAGGGTTGGTGTGAGTCCGTCTCCTTTGGGAACTTCTTGCACACGGCTGGAAATCCGGCATTTGTGGCTGATTTGTGCCAATTCTCAGTTGTTCATCCGGGATTTATGCATATCTTTGTTGTTATTCTGGTTGCCTGGTGATTGGTTTGGCACGAATCATGGAATGGGAGGTGATTTCTTCGCACTCTGCTTCTCTTCCTTGTAGCCTCCGCTCGAGCCTTGTGTTGTTCTTCAGGTTTGGGCCTGCTGTGTGGATTGTTTTGGGCTTTTGGTGTTGTGCAGGCCCTTGGCTGGTTCTGGCCCAATTTGGAGTTTATTTGCTTTTGTGTTGGT